GTGGAAAGTTTTCAGTGATAACAGGATGGGAAACCAAGGAAACCAGTTGTTTATTTCCTTTTTACAGTGAATCTGAATAGATCAGAATTGAATCATGCAAACGCTGGAAAATTTGGTAACTTGAACAGATAAGCACGGATATTTTAACCACTATTCCGATAAAGAGAAGTGATAAACTGCAAGCGAATGAAGTTAAAGAAGGGTAGAAAATACATAGGTAAAAAAGTGACATCTTAACCAGCTGAAAATTAGCCAGTGATATCTGAGAAACTTCCAAAAAGCAAAATCTATCTAAATTTAGGCAATTGGTCGGTAATTTTGGTAATTAATCAATTACCTTCCCTTTCAAACAATATTTACACAAAGTTTCCCCAATTTGAATACATATGTACTTGACTTAACGTCTAAGTATGTCAGTTGTCAATATATCCGACGACTCTTAAATTCAGGAAATTTAATCAAGCCACGTCACTGTTTGTTTATCTTGAAAAATGCAGCCACACTTTGAAAGTTTCTCATTTTGCAATCAGTGTCACCGAGTTCTTTCGATGATATGACCCCTGCGTTAATTTCAAAATCGACTTGATTAATTCGGCATTTTTACGAGGGACCAGCGTTTGCTCAGGGCACAGCAAAAGGGCAACTAAATGTCATTTTTGAAAAATAAATTAATTACCCTGCCTTCGAGACCTAGGCAGCATGATTTTTGTTTTCGTTCAGCCGCAACGAACAAACGGTTCCTTCAGTTTTGTAATGTAGCGAAGGCAATAACAAAAAAACTGTTTTGTTACTGCCTTGAATTGTGAGTTTTGATTTGAGGTTACTGTCAACAAGATCTGGTCAAATTTCAAACTTCTATTTTATTTACTCTTTTTTTAGAGAAAACATTGAAATTTAATTTGCTGGGAAAAAAACAAACTTTTAAAACTTTCTTCGATACTTTATAAGCTTTTCAGTGATATACAGTTTTCCAAGTGTTTCTTTGAAAGTAGGGCGCGAAGAACAAAATGTTTTTTTCCAGAATTTTTCCTTGTTTCCTTACATTTCGATGTTTTCTGCGCATTTTTTTGCATATTTATCGTCTACTTGAACTCCCTCGACTAGGCCACACAGTTCATGGTCATCAAGGCAAGCAAAAGAGTTCTAGTTCCTCTTTTTCCTCCTTCTTGTTCCTCACTGGGGAAGGGATGGAAGTCAAACCCTAGATCAAAAATTGGCACATACTTCTCCAATTCCAATATTTATCACTTACACTTGAGATTACTGTGCGGGTATTGGGAAAACTTTGAGTTTGAAATGTTTTCAAATTGCGCCGGCAAACATTAAAAGTGTGACGTCCAAACAAGCTGTGTTTACATACTCTCATCTAAACTAACTAGTTGGCCTATTGAGAGCAAACGAACTATCTCAATTATTTTATAACCATCATTAGTTATAAAAGTGTGACTTGCAAAACCGAATTACAGTCACTTGGTTTTTTTTAGTAGTTTTGGCTTCGATCATGCAAATCACACCCGCTAGAAAATGAAAAGTTCACGAAGACAATGAGTTTATTATCACGCAAAGATAGCTTAGCGTTAAAAAGAAGGGACTTAGGTTGTACTGTGATTGATCTTGTGATGAAAATCAAACCTCTCAAAGGGGTAAACACTGAAGCCTGACATTTCCTGTTGGAAAAAGAATAACACTTTTCATTTTCCATGTTCAATTACATCATGACTGATAAAAGTGTGACGTACGAAAACGAAATACTGTGTACTTATTGAGTGGTAGGGGCGCAGCGAGGTCCTTTCTTCATAACCCTGAGCTTAATATTTTCCCCACTGGTCCCACCAAATTCTGTCAATAAGCATGTTATCATATGACCACTAACTGTTAAAAATTTTAACCTAAATGGGACGCGATAGACGGGCATACGGGCACACAAAAAAAATATGCAATCTAAAACTTTTCCTTTTATTTCGATTAGCCCCAAGGGGAAGGGAATACCCTGAACACACGTGATCTGGATACATTAAACAATGTGACAGCGGAAGTTCGGAAGGTTGGGAAAAGTAATTCGTTATTTTTGTTGTTTCATTTTGAAAGCATCAGCCACATTGTCAACATCTTGGTAAGTGCGATTGAAAATCTTTTCTAGTCACTCGGTTTTTATCAGCCTTAGTCATTTAGTAACTGTAGAGAGGTAAGGCTCTTATGCCAAAGCCCAGTAGCTGCTTTATCCCTTTATTATTTACTTTATCCAGTACCTGATCTTTATGTTTGCGATATGTTACGTTTCGAGTGTTAGCCCTTCGTTAAAGCGGTTGATGGCGCGATTGAATCGTCACCACAGTGAAATAAATTGATTCTACGGCGACTTTTTAAATCTCTGTGGCTCTATACCGTATAATTTATCCTCATTAACTAAAAAACAAGGTTATTGAGTATCGTTCAATTTGAGAAATTGATGATCATAAAACTAGACTGTCCCACGCTGACATCATAGGAAATCCGTAGTGCTTCATTACGTGGTTTTCCAGAGGCTATGAGGCTTTTTTAGGAGAGTTTAACGATCGATTCAGAGATCGCGGTAGATTCCAATTGAATTTCCGTTTTCTACTTGTACACAAACGTTTCATGGTCGAGACACCATTCACTTAAATTTTTAGATACTAGCGGCGGGTTCTACGGTACATATTTTTCTAAACACCGTAATCTGTTTTTTTGTCTGCTTAAGCGCTAGAGCCTCGCATAAGAAGATAAGTCATGACGCTGCGCGCTCACGAAGAGAGATGTTTTAATTTTCTGAGAGAATCTAAGACTTTCTTAAATTCAATGTTACTGCATACGTAGTATAGGCGTACTTTTCCGTTGATCGGATGCTTCATATCTCCACCGTTAAATGGCTTTCTTAAAACAGTTAAGGTTTCATACAATAAATTTCAACCAGAATGTAACTAAGATTGTTCAGCATTGTTTAGTTTGAGAAACTGATGGTTCCCACAATCACGTGATCAAAAACTAAAATCAATCCTATATTAAGACATATTTGTCATGCAGAATGTCCTTTACTGATGTCAACAGAGGCGGCCCAAGCTCACACTCGAGAAAAAGCAAACGATTAATTCATGAAAGCGTCACGCGTTGTGTGACTCGGTGTTAACTTACCAGAGTTGAACACGTCATAAGGAATTGTATGGGGAACGAAAGATGGTCGATTTGAAGTTATAAAAATGTGACGTACAAAACCGAAATAGATTCACTGCGGAGTAAACTACGGATCGGTTTTCCATATCAGTTCATGAAAAGTTGATTATCGCTCACAGATAGCTTACCGTTTAAAGAAAGAAGCTTTGGTTCTGTTGGCATCGATCTTGTAATGAAATTTCAATTTTCGAAATAGATGGACACAGAAGCCTGACGTTTCCTGTTAATAAATAGTTTATTTTTACATGTTCAATTCTATCATTGGTCACAAAAGTGTGACGTACAAAACCGAAATTCATCCCCCACCTCTCCCTTCCTCAAAAGAAATATGAAGTACTATTAAGTATGACTATTGATTATTACTGAAAGTCAAGCCACCTCTTATCTCTGATGTCATTTGCTTGTTGCCATATTTCAGTCACTGGATTAACCCCTTCAAAGGTAAGACCAGTGATGTGGTAATGTTCGAGCAAATTACCGATCCACTCCGCCCGTTTTCATTTTTTTTTCTTTTTTTGTTTAGTGTTGTGTTAAGAAAAATAATGTTTCCCTGATAACAGGAAAGGATTGCAGTGGAAACCTAACAGCAGAAGCCATGACACCTTTCATGAGCATCGCTTTACTTGTTGCCCTGTTCTTGCTCAACTCAGATCGCATTCAGAAAGCCATTGAGATATGCAGCGAATGTTTGATTTTGCTAACTTGCACCGATCAAAACAGCAAAGACCAATTTGATTCGGCACTGCTACAATTTTACAGCGACATCTACACCATTCTTTTCAGCGCGTATCGTCATATGTCTGACTACATAAGTGCGGAAAGATACGGGAGGAAACTGTTTTACTTATACAGAGAGTATGGAATTATGCTTTATAAACTTGGCGAAAGCCTAAAAGCAAAGGAATATGTTGAGAAGGCCCTTGCCATAACAACCAAAATTGGCGACAGAAGCGGAGAAGCATCATGTTATGGAAACCTAGGTACTGTGTTTAAGTCGCTTGGCCAATACGACAAGGCTGAAGAGTATCTCCAAAAAGCGCTTGTCATCACAACTGAAATTGGCGACAGAAAAGGGGAGGCAGCTAACTATGGAAGCCTAGGTACTGTGTTTATGTCCGTTGGCCAATACGACAAGGCTGAAGAGTATCTCCAAAAAGCGCTTGTCATCAGAACTGAAATTGGCGACAGAAAAGGGAGGCAGCTAACTATGGAAACCTCGGTACTGTGTTTATGTCGGTTGGCCAATACGACAAGGCTGAAGAGTATCTCCAAAAAGCGCTTGTCATCACAACTGATATTGGCGACAGAGAAGGGGAAGCATCATGTTATGAAAACCTAGGTACTGTGTTTATGTCCGTTGGCCAATACGACAAGGCTGAAGAGTATCTCCAAAAAGCGCTTGTCATCACAACTGATATTGGCGACAGAAGCGGAGAAGCATCATGTTATCGAAACCTAAGTACTGTGTTTCTGTCCGTTGGCCAATACGACAAGGCTGAAGAGTATCTCCAAAAGCGCTTGTCATCAGAACTGATATTGGCGACAGAGAAGGGAAGCATCATGTTATGGAAACCTAGGTAGTGTGTTTCTGTCAGTTGGCCAATACGACAAGGCTAAAGAGTATCTCCAAAAGCGCTTGTCATCAGAACTGAAATTGGCGACAGAAAAGGGGAGGCAGCTAACTATGGAAACCTCGGTGCTGTGTTTATGTCCGTTGGCCAATACGACAAGGCTAAAGAGTATCTCCAAAAGCGCTTGTCATCAGAACTGATATGGGCGACAGAGAAGGGGAAGCATCATGTTATGGAAACCTAGGTAGTGTGTTTCTGTTCGTTGGCCAATACGACAAGGCTGAAGAGTATCTCCAAAAAGCGCTTGTCATCAGAACTGATATTGGCGACAGAGAAGGGGAAGCATCATGTTATGAAAACCTAGGTAGTGTGTTTCTGTCCGTTGGCCAATACGACAAGGCTGAAGAGTATCTCAAAAAGCGCTTGTCATCACAACTGAAATTGGCGACAGAGAAGGGAGGCATCATGTTATGGAAACCTAGGTACTGTGTTTAAAACTGTTGGCCAATACGACAAGGCTAAAGAGTATCTCCAAAAGCGCTTGTCATCACAACTGAAATTGGCCACAGAAAAGGGGAGGCAGCTAACTATGGAAACCTCGGTACTGTGTTTATGTCCGTTGGCCAATACGACAAGGCTAAAGAGTATCTCCAAAAAGCGCTTGCCATAACAACCAAAATTGGCGACAGAAGCGGAGAAGCATCATGTTATGGAAACCTAGGTACTGTGTTTAAGTCGTTTGGCCAATACGACAAGGTTGAAGAGTATCTCCAAAAAGCGCTTGTCATCACAACTGAAATTGGCGACAGAAGGGGGAGGGGAGGTTTAAGCTAACTATGGAAACCTCGGTACTGTGTTTAAGTCTATGCAAACCTAGGTAGTGTGTTTCTGTCAGTTGGCCAATACGACAAGGCTGAAGAGTATCTCCAAAAAGCGCTTGTCATCAGAACTGAAATTGGCGACAGAGAAGGGGGGAAGCATCATGTTATGAAAAACCTAGGTAGTGTGTTTCTGTCCGTTGGCCAATACGACAAGGCTGAAGAGTATCTCCAAAAAGCGCTTGTCATCACAACTGAAATTGGCGACAGAAAAGGGGAGGCAGCTAACTATGGAAACCTCGGTACTGTGTTTACGTCCGTTGGCCAATACGACAAGGCTAAAGAGTATCTCCAAAAAGCGCTTGTCATCGCAACTGAAATTGGCGACAGAGAAGGGGAGGCGAATCACTATGGAAACCTAGGTACTGTGTTTATGTCCGTTGGCCAATACGACAAGGCTAAAGAGTATCTCCAAAAAGCGCTTGCCATAACAACCAAAATTGGCGACAGAAGCGTAGAAGCATCATGTTATGGAAACCTAAGTAGTGTGTTTCTGTCAGTTGGCCAATACGACAAGGCTAAAGAGTATCTCCAAAAAGCGCTTGTCATCACAACTGAAATTGGCGACAGAAAAGGGGAGGCAGCTACTTATGGAAACCTCGGTACTGTGTTTAAGTCGCTTGGCCAATACGACAAGGCTGAAGAGTATCTCCAAAAAGCGCTTGTCATCACAGCTGAAATTGGCGAAAGAAGAGGGGAGGCAGCTAGCTATGGAAACCTAAGTAGTGTGTTTCTGTCAGTTGGCCAATACGACAAGGCTAAAGAGTATCTCCAAAAAGCGCTTGTCATCACAACTGAAATTGGCGACAGAAAAGGGGAGGCAGCTAACTATGGAAACCTCGGTGCTGTGTTTATGTCCGTTGGCCAATACGACAAGGCTAAAGAGTATCTCCAAAAAGCGCTTGTCATCAGAACTGATATTGGCGACAGAGAAGGGGAAGCATCATGTTATGGAAACCTAGGTAGTGTGTTTCTGTCCGTTGGCCAATACGACAAGGCTGAAGAGTATCTCCAAAAAGCGCTTGTCATCACAACTGAAATTGGCGACAGAAAAGGGGAGGCAGCTAACTATGGAAACCTCGGTACTGTGTTTATGTCCGTTGGCCAATACGACAAGGCTGAAGAGTATCTCCAAAAAGCGCTTGTCATCAGAACTGATATTGGCGACAGAGAAGGGGAAGCATCATGTTATGAAAACCTAGGTAGTGTGTTTCTGTCCGTTGGCCAATACGACAAGGCTGAAGAGTATCTCCAAAAAGCGTCATTGTCATCATCATGTTAGAAACTGATATTGGCGACAGAAGAAATTGGCGACAGAGAAAGGCATCATGTTATGGAAACCTAGGTACTGTGTTTAAAACTGTTGGCCAATACGACAAGGCTAAAGAGTATCTCCAAAAAGCGCTTGTCATCACAACTGAAATTGGCGACAGAAAAGGGGAGGCGGATCACTATGGAAGCCTAGGTACTGTGTTTAAGTCGCTTGGCCAATACGACAAGGCTGAAGAGTATCTCCAAAAAGCGCTTGTCATCACAACTGAAATTGGCGACAGAAAAGGGGAGGCAGCTAACTATGGAAACCTCGGTACTGTGTTTATGTCCGTTGGCCAATACGACAAGGCTAAAGAGTATCTCCAAAAAGCGCTTGTCATCAGAACTGAAATTGGCGACAGAAAAGGGGAGGCATCATGTTATGGAAACCTAGGTACCGCTGTGTTTAGAACGGTTGGTGATTTTGAAGCTTCGGAAGTATGCTGGGAGAAAGCCTTATTGATATCCAGAGATATTGGAGATGCAAGAGGAGAGTTCGAAATCCTCGCAAATTACGCCGTTTTGTATTTATACCAATATAAAATCAAAGACTCCCTGTCGTGTCTTCATCTCTGCATTGAAAAGTATGAGGAGCTGAGATATTTCTTGGGCGCCAATGATCAGTTCAAAACATCATTACTGGAGGACACAGGAATATTTCCTTACAAACTGCTTTGTACTTTGCTTTGTGCCACCGGAAATGCTCGGGATGCTATTTATGTTGAGGAGTTGGGTCGAGCTAGAGGCCTATCAGACTTAATGGCAGAGAAGTACTCTGTTGAAACGCACATCTCTGCTAATCCACAATCTTGGTTTGGCATTGAGAACATTTTAAGAAAGCAAAAAAACTGTACTTGTCTGTACATTTCTTATTTTCAGAATAGTCTGCATTTGTGGATCTTGAAAACAAGTGGAGTCCTTCACTATAGAAGAGTATCACCAGAAGAGAATCTAGTTCAGGCTGGGTTACCCAAAGATTTGCATTTGAGTCAATTTTTGGATGATAATTTCCGGAGTCTTGGTATTTTGCCCCCTAAAGATTGTGAAGATCGGTCTTTAAATACGATTAAATTGCAACCTCTCTCCCCGCGCAAAAGAGCTCAGCAAGATTACGACTCGTGGAGGAGGACGAGGACGAGGACGAGAACGAGGACGAGGACGAGGACGAGAAAGTGATTTCAAGTCTACATTTATGTTACAAAATGTTCATTGCCCCCGTTTATGATTTGCTTGATGAGCCTGAAGTCATTATTGTTCCTGACCGCAGGTTATACAAAGTTCCCTTTGCTGCCCTGAGTGAAAAGGAAGGAGCCGAATACTTGTCAGAGACCCATAAGATCCGTATCATTCCTTCGTTGACAACACTCAAGAACATTCAAGATAGTCCAGAGGACTATCACAGCAACACTGGTGCCTTGGTTATAGGCAATCCCAAGGTAAATTGGCTGCAACCATTGCCAGCTGCAAGAAAGGAAGCGGAGATGGTCGGACGACTGGTGGGTGTTCCGCCTCTAGTTGAAGAGAAAGCAACGAAGCAGGCGGTACTTGAGCGGATAAGTTCAGTGAGCTTGATACATTTTGCTGCCCATGGTGACGCGGAAAGAGGAGAAATTGCACTCTCCCCCATTCCTACTCCCAACAGTCAAAACGCTATCCCGAAGGAAGCTTACATGTTGACGATGGCTGATGTCTCACGAGTGAAAGTCAGAGCTAAACTGGTGGTACTTAGCTGCTGTCACAGTGGAAGTGGAGAGATAAGAGCCGAGGGAGTTATAGGAATTGCCCGTGCGTTCTTAGGATCCGGTGCTCGCTCGGTGTTGGTTGCGCTGTGGGCCATTCCAGACTCAGCAACAGAGCAGCTGATGAGTCGGTTCTACGAACACCTCATTGAAGGTGGAAGTGCCAGTGAATCCCTTCATCATGCCATGAAGTGGATGAGAAAAAACGGCTTGAACAAAATGTCTGAGTGGGCTTCGTTTACGCTGATTGGAGATGATGTGAGACTCGACTTTGACACGCAGCGGCAAGACTCAGTGAGGACAGGTATTTCTTAAATTAAAGTTAGATTAGACGTGAAAATAGTTATGACTTACTGGTTGTTGATTGGATGGGGATCCTTTGTTACCTTGAACATCAAGGCTAGTTTGATATCTATCTATCTATATATATATATATATATATATATATATATATATGTACATAAATATAAATATATATATATATATATATATATACACACACACTTTTTTTCCTTTTTGAAGAGTTACTATGTTGAGTTACGCAGCGGCAAGACTCAGTGAGGACAGGTCTTTCTTAAATTAAAGTTAGATTAGACGTGAAAATAGTTATGACTTACTGGTTGTTGATTGGATGGGGATCCTTTGTTACCTTGAACATCAAGGCTAGTTTGATATCTATCTATCTATATATATATATATATATATATATGTATATAAATATAAATATATATATATATATATATATACACACACACTTTTTTTCCTTTTTGAAGAGTTACTATCTCCGTTCTCTGGTGTAAAGTATAGAATCTCACAGATGCCTCTCTACCAATGAGATACAAGTAATAGCCAATTATTTATATATATGGTGCTTGGTGTAATTGTGTTTGCTTTATATCCAAAATGTTAATTGAGGTAATGATAAATTGGGTTATTTCAATTTTTTTCTTGCAGGAAAAAAGACCCCGATAGAGTAAATAATGACAAGTACTCGAAGGGAACAGAATTGAAAGACTCTTAGATGGATAAATTATTAGAAATAATAGAGAAAATACTCTATCCGGTATTTCATCGACATTAAAAAAAGAGCTATCCCAGGTTAGGGGAGATCTAGTCCAATTTTTGGTGCTTTCTTTACTAATATTCTCAGGAGGAGGTAATGGTTATGTACTCAACAATTTTTTGTTTTTCACGCAAAAATTATATTCTGCTATAATAAGCACGAAACAATGTTGACCTACGTAAGCCTTTTGAGTATAACGAATTCAGTAAAGTTAAGACATTAAGCGTTGCGCATCCTAAAAATAAATCCGAAGCACTCCACATTAGAAAAAAAATCCTACAGAGCTTAAAAATACGACTAAAAGAGGGGAAAGAGGATACCTGACGAAGTTCTGGAGAAATACGTGTCTGAAGTTATCTGCTCCAATAGAGAAGTATCACTTCCGGCTTTACAAAAGCTCAATAACACGCTGATGTGGAAATGTCACATTCAAAATCACATGGCCATAAATTATTATAATAAAGTTCGGATATAACGCGCGCTGTCATTGGTTGAAAGAGCGTGCTCTATGAGAGTATAGAGCATAGAACTGAGCTAAAGCTGTCACGCCATCTGCCAAATTGTACCATGTTCGACCTTTTCCGGGACTTCTTTTTAGCTTTTTCCGATAATTGAAAGTGAAATTTTGGAACAAGCGAGCCGGCAAGTAGTAACAGAAGAACCAAACAAAGGTTTGTAAACATACCAGGCGCCGTTATTTACGTTATTAAAACGTGGGCAGATACGAAAATCCTCAAAGGAAAAACAAAATAGACATTCCGAGTTTTAAAGATTTTCACGCTCAGTTAGATTGCAAGCTTACGTACGGTAATGAAAATCAAACACAACCAACACGCGTATAGTATATAAAGTTCAGAGTTCAAAAACAAAACAGAACAAAACAGAAATGATGAAAAATATAAATACGGTGTCTGAGCAAATATGATCATGCTGAAGTCCATCGCAGCTCACTTATCATGGCGATCTCCGGTCATCACAGTGAAGCAAGCCTCAGAAACTACATCGGCCGCCCTTCGAGTGAAAAAATAAGAGCTCGCTCTGATATCCTTTCCGATGTGTTGAGTGGAAAGTCACTTCGGTCGCTGCAGCCGTGTTTTGCGGCGCTGTCATCCCGAGCGATCCTCATGTTCCGGTGAATTCGGCTGTTGTTCATTTAAAAAACACTCGCCTTGAACAGTTTGTTTTCTACCATGTCATGTGTGAAAAAAACCCGCGTGTTTTAATGAGCCATAATTCGGCTTAAGTTCACTGAACATTTCACTTCAAGATTCTAAATTAAAACTTCAGGCAAAAAAGCGTTAAATTCGACCTGCCGAATTATTTTAGTTTGTAAACTATCGCAGATTGTGACATTTGATTTTTTTTTAACTTTGATGGTTTGACACTTTTGACAGCTTTTTGTCTTGTACAGCCAATCAGATTACTTGAACCATTCTAACAGGGATTCTGATTGGCTTATTGTAGCGTGCTCTATGAGAGTATAGAGCATGCTGACGACACTGTTGTTCGCTTTGGAAATGGTTTGTTTTGAAAATTGACAGTAATACATGGGGAATTTAACGGATTCTTTATTATAAAACAAATAGAGAAGCCTTCACTTTTGCTCTGTTCTGTTAAAAGCACTTAGGAAGCGGCTAGAGCACGAAAGGAAGTGGGAAGAAACACTCGACTACGTCTCGTGTTTCTCCCTACACTTCTTTCGTGCTCTAGCCGCTTCCTAACTGCTTTATAACAGAACAGAGCACAGTCAAACTTCTCTATTTGTTAATTTAAGTATATCCTGGCCAGAACTGATCTTTGGAGACAGAAATTTAAAATCGCTTGCGGATGGCGGGAGTGTCATGCGGGCATGTCAATACTTCAATTTTTAACTGGTCACTTGCCTCTTGTGCTATGGACCCTGCGCGAAGCAGCGAAATATGGAAGTAATCCTGTCTTGGAATATAGAGTTCATCTGTTGTAGAATAAGTTAATTCGTAACACCCTGTAATAACAGCAAAACTAGTCGCTGGTTCCCTTTCATCAAGAGCGTTACTATTTGTAACTGGTTTTGGCAGTTACGTCCTTAACGTTCTAGTAGAAATACAAAACACTATACGCTCCAGTGGGTACTAAAGTATGTTTTTAGTTCAAAACATGTGTATCGCCAATGCATATTAACTGAAGTCTTTTAGAAGGTTTTTGAGCAACTTTAACGTTGTGGTTGAAATCCGCAAATTCGCAGGAATTTTTGACAGTGTATTCAGTATTCCCAACAACAGGCGACAAAATTCTCGCAAGATAACCAGAAATTGCATAAGTCGGAGAATTAACAAAAGGGACAATTGGTCTCAAAGGAATTCCCGGTTTATGAATTTTAGGTAAGCCATAAAAACGTGGACAAAAGCCGTCACTACTGTATAATATTTTGTACGTAGAGTCACTAAATTTACCAAGCGACATTTTGTTTAACTTTCCTTGAGTTTTTCTGGTAGGATCAGACTTTAAGACAGCATATGTACTCTTGTCATTAAGCAGAGACAAAGCTTTGTCGTGATATTGCTGTTTGTCCATAACCACAACACAATTACCCTTGTCAGCAGATAATACGAATGTTTTTGGGAGGAGGTTTAGATCGTGACGATGGCGGTTTGCTTCCTGATGCATTTTTACACCTCGTCAGAGAAAAAAAAAAAAAGGCCGCTAATTAGTGATCATATAAAAGGACCTCTAGTTACAGCGTCTAGATCACCCCTGATGAAGGCACTAGACAGGAGTGTCGAAACGTTGGGTCTATGAATTGTATCTTCCTCGGTTACATTCATTAAATCTGCAAACCAGAGTAGCATCAAACTATGTCCGATTGTCCACCTGGTTGCCGTGTGAACTTTCATGTATTAGATAAATAGGCATTTGCTTACCTTGGCTCCTTTGATCACTGAACCAGTCGGCCTACAGTTGATGAAGTTCGGGATCTTTTGGTCGGTAACGGTCCATGGAAGCGTGCTTGGCTGTCATCTTCAGATCGCCGAACCATTGATTCGAAACCATTAATTCGAAAATTCCGTATTCCCTCGCTATCTCTCGATTGTTGTTAACAGCTTCAGCTTCAATTACGATTTTCAACTTGAGGTTGAGATCATTAGAATGACGGCGAGTGTTTGGCATGATTGTGCTGAAAGTAGACTTCGCAAAGTGATGTTCACCAGGTGAAGTAAATTTGCGACTACTGATTTTGTTGATCGAATTGTTTTTATACTTTAAAACCATGTTTCCCGAGAGGAAAGGCTAAAAATTAATATGTACCGATAGGTTGTATTTAAATGTGTGACTTTTTTTGCCTTTTGTTTATCTCATGTGACTAAATGTGTGACATTTTTCGGCTTTTGTAAATGTGTGTGACATTTTGCTTTTGTTTAATCAAGGCTTTTGTTTGTGCGCGTGGTCGCGTGTGCGACAATTCTGCTTTTAGATATATGAAAATTCACATATTTGCACTGCGGTGGAAAGATGAAATTAGAAGATCCTCGCTGCTAAGAACACTACTGAAACTAGTAGTTGTAAGTAGGACCTGAAAAAATTTCAGGCCCGTACGGGATTTGAACCCATGACCTCTGCGATACCGGTGCAGCGCTCTACCAATTGAGCTAACAAGCCAACTGGGAGCTGGTCAATGAATTGGGTACAAATAAACATCCGAGTGAAATTCACATATTTGCACTGCGGTGGAAAGATGAAATTAGAAGATCCTCGCAGCCAAGAACACTACTGAAACTAGTAGTTGTAAGCAGGACCTGAAAAAAGTAGTGGTAGTAGTGTTCTTAGCTGCGAGGATCTTTCTAATTTCATCTTTCCACCGCAGTGCAAATATGTGAATTTTCATATATCTAAATCTTCATTCACTCAGATGTTTATTTGTACCCAATTCATTGACCAGCTCCCAGTTGGCTTGTTAGCTCAATTGGTAGAGCGCTGCACCGGTATCGCAGAGGTCATGGGTTCAAATCCCGTACGGGCCTGAAATTTTTTTCAGGTCCTACTTACAACTACTAGTTTCAGTAGTGTTCTTAGCTGCGAGGATCTTCTAATTTCAATTCTGCTTTTGTTAATTAACGGTAAACTAAAATCAATACGCGACTTTTTCGCTTTTTTGTAAGTTTATGAAAGAATTTACAATAAACTTGACCGATCTTTACTCCCCAAACAACAATGCGCCTTATAACCAATTATT